CTTGCTTCCTCTATATATTCACGTACACTCGATCGGAAGAAAAAAAAAATGATGCACTGTACACTGTTGTTGCTGGCAACGCACCACCACCACTGATGACCACCGCGCCGCCCAAGCCACCTCCGACCACCATCGCACACCCAGCCATCAAGAGGACTTCATAGAAGGTGATTTTTGGTTGGTAAAGTTGTCTACCAATTTGTTTAATCAAGATACATACAAGGATACGAAAAACCTTGACTTTAGGAGCATGTTTAAGGACTTGGAAAATTTAGAATCATGTTAAGAAACTTGTAGATTGGTTGAAATTGTTTGGTAGTGAGTTTGATTGATGATTAAGGTGATGATTGGTTTGATTCATCTTTGAGAAATACGTATTGATTTATCTTGTAAGTATTATTTATGCATTAACTTGCAAGATGAGTTAAGAGGCGAAGGTACGTAAATATGTGGAATGAACTATCTCATTACTCGTTCATGTTTATTGAAATGGAATGAGTAAAGGGAAAATTAAAGTCTTATAAGGCGAGGTTGAGGATTTGAGGTGCCTTATGCACTTAAGGTGTTTATACACCGAGGTAGTTAAAGGATTCAATAATAAATATTGTTTGTCACTAATAAATCAAGAATTGAATTGGAAACTTGAATTTCTTGAATGATTGATGTTTGATTGATTGTATTGTTTTGCATTTGAGTCATCACCAAGTTTAAACCTGTAAATCACGTAAAGTGCAAGATAGATGAACAATAAAACTCTGGATTTGTGCACATCTAGAGTAATGACAAACAGGGGTTGGGGTACGCGGGGTATTAGCCGTGCATTTTTCTAGAGGCCGTCTGATCTACGAGTCTCTTGTTTTTAAATACTTTTTAAAACTATAAGGAGTGAGATGAGATCTCATACTAGCTATGGCCACGAAGTCGCGCCCGTCTGCAATTGGATGCATGTTTATTGATGTTTCCGAAAGGAGGCATAGGGTTTTTCTTTTGTTGATGTTCCGAAATGGAGTATGGGGAGACAACCTTGTCTATTGCTTAATCCAATCAATGAATGTAATGAAATGAATTATTGTTAGTAATTAGTGAAGTCTTAATAATGTTAACAGTTGAGGCATGTGTTTGAGTCAATAATTAAATTGTGTGTGCTGATTGATTATTAGTAACATGCTAGGGATTCTTTGTTACATTTTGTAGCTTGTATGTACTCAGCGTTGCTGATTGCGTGCTTTTGTGTGTCTTTTTCCTGGTCATGGCCTTCGCCTTTCAATGACCCTGTAATGATCCAATTTTTACACTTGTAATATTGGGGAGCAGATTAATCACACGTGTTTACATAGTTTGGACTTGCATCAAGGTGGTGGGATTTTGAGTGGAGTGTTGGTTATGATCACAGTTTATTACATTTCATAAGTTTGAATTTATTTCAACTCTGGTTTGATTTATTTACTACTTTTGTTAGGTTTTGAATAAGGGCCTTAATGGTGCCAACTTGTAAGACTTAATTTGGTTTTGTTCATTGGTTTTGAAACTTATTTATAACTGAGTTGGTTTTTCCGCTGCTAAATTCTGAATCAGCCTTAACGTTTGAACACGTGGCCGTAATATGTCAGTAATTCTCTTGGATTTTATTAAAGGTATTAACAGGTTTAAAGAGAAAATTATTGGGGTGTTACAGGGTTGATACCTCAACCTAGTAGAAGCCTTTTGGGTAGGATTTCTTATCCTGCACCAAAGCAAATCCTTGCGGGCTAGGGTCTAGAGAGGACAATATCTACTAGTGGGCTCATGTTAACTTGGAGTGTTAAAGATGGTATCAGAGCTAGAGCCCATTTGGGTGTCCTATTGTGCCTTTGGGGCGCAGGCTCCTTAAAGGAGAGGAGAAGGTGTCTATTGCGCTCCCACATTGGAAGTTGAGGAGAACGAAGCCTTTTTTACATGGGGGTTGATACCTCAACCTAGTAGAGGCGTTTTGGGTATGACTTATTGTCTTGCACCAAAGAAAATCCTTGTGGGTTAGGGTCCATATACGACAATATCTACTAGTGGGCTCATGTTAACTTAGGGTGTTAAATATGGTGTTATATCCGGGGCCCATTTCAATGTCCTCTTGTGCCTTCGGGACAAAGGCTCCTTAAAGGAGTAGAGAAGGTGCCCATGTCGCTCCCACATTGGAAGTTAAGGAGAACGAAGCCTTCTTTACATGGGGGTTGATACCTCAATCGAGTAGAGGCCTTTTGGGTAGGATTTCTTGTCTTGCACCAAAGCAAATCCTTGCAGATTAGGGCCTAGTGAGGACAATATCTACTAGTGGACTCAAGTTAACCTCAGTTGTTACATTTATTGTCAACAAAACAAGCACATACTCTTACAGAATATGTAAAAGGAACCAGAGGGAGTGAAGACAAAATCATCCGTAATACAACAATTTATTCTATACATACAATAAACGGTTTTTTCACTATATACCCCTGAGTTATTTATTTAATTATTATATACCCTTGAATTTTTTTAATTCACCATATACCCCTGAGTTGTTACAAAAATTTACCATATACCCCTAATGACAACAAGATGAGTGAAATTTGGTTAATTATGAATCGAAACCACCTTAGAACTCCCCCCATCCCCGAAACCACTCCCCTCCTTTCTCGAACCCCCGAAACCACTCCAAATCTCCATAACCATATTCGTACGATTGATTTTGAAGATGAGAAAAGAAAATTTAGGGTGGTTTTGGGGGTGGGAAAAAGGATTGTGGGTGGTTTTGGGGGTTTATTTAGGGTGGTTTCGGGTCATAATTAACCTTAATGACTGACGAAGTTAACAATCATTAGTTATCAAGGGTATATAGTGTATTTTTGTGAAAACTCGGGAGTATATGATGAATTTAAAAAAATTCAGGGGTCTATGGTGAATAAACAAAAAAACTCAGGAGTATATGGTAAAAAAACCGTATAATAAAATTCACTATTTTTTTTAAAATTCATGTGTTATTGTAACAATATCTCAATTAACAAATCAACACAAATATGTATGATTTTAATGTAATACCATGGTTTCATATTAGGTACAACAACGAAGGGTTGCACAAGATGCTAGGCAAAAAATATTAAGGAGTGATTAGTAAAAGAAAAGACATGTGATTAAGGATAGGAGAAAGAAAGTGGGGATGATTATTTAATTAAAAAGCTTAACCAACACCCACCCAACACCACCACTATAGCGCCACCTCCGCTTTGAGCCCCCTTTTCCACACCCTATGTCGTGACCTTAGCGGCCCGAATGCAAGAAAATACAAGTTTGTCAATATAAGAAACATTCCATGTATTTCAAAGGGGCAAGTTTGTCATTTTTAGTCAATAAATTGGGCAGATAGTGTAATTTTGCCTAGTAAATCAATGAATTAAAGCCAAAATAGAATAACTTTAATGGAGAACCGAAGAGATACCATGGAGAAACGAAAAATTCAATATAATGGAGAAACCGAACATGGCATGGGGCTCCAAATCTTCAATGGAGGAGGATGATACTACCCCTACCATTTAGAGATAACCATGCCCTTTTTTTCTCCCTTATTTCTCAGGGTTTTCGTTTAATTCGGCGGAAACATGGTAGATCCGTTTCAATTTATGCTTATATTGCAAAAGCTAGCAACTTAAACAAGAGAACTAAGAATGAAAATATTAAGGTAAAATAAACATTAATTGCACCGACCGACGCATGATTTTGACATGCATTTCAAAATTAACATATTTATGTTATATATTAAATAGTTATCTAACGCCCCGGGGTGCTCGTTGGCAAGACTCCAATATGTAATTTTTTATAATTTTTACTTATTGATAACTAAAGGTATTTGTGATTGAGGCAAAGTGATAATCGTGAAATGAAAAGTGTTACAAATAAAATAAACAAAAACGGAATAATAATAATAATAATAATGTTATTATTATTATTATTATTACAAAAACCTACAAAGTCAAACAATTTACAAGAAATTAGTGGGGAGCCGAGACACAATTTGGGCCCCCACTCCTCTAGCTATAGCGAACCCGATCCTGCTGAAGATGTGAGTAGCAGCACGAGCACCAATATCCCGAGTCTTAGCGAATGCCTGAACCCGCTTTAGCAACGCAACAACATTATTATTATTATTATTATTATTGTTATTATTATATTATTATTATTATTATTATTATTAATGGTTGAACTTAAACATTGACAATATCATTAAAACTTATGACTCTTAACTTATCTTACTTGAATTAATTCAAATTTAAGCTGTGTTTTCTTCACCTTACAAAATTTTGTAAAAATAAATTTCAGTTTTGCAAAAATAATTTAAGTCTAGTTCAATAAAAGATCAACAATTATAAAGAAGAAATATAATAGAGAAGTAAAATAATTTTCATTCAGTAATTTTTTTTTTTCAAATTTCAGTAAAAATAAAGTCAAGTAAACCGGACTTTACTAGCCTAAAATATTTGAATTTATACAGAAAATAAAGCTTAAAAAAAAAAAAACCGAAGGCCGAGTTGAACCAAACAAAACATTGGGAGGGGTGGAGGTTTGGATTCTTCGCAAAACAAAAAAGAGACGTAAAGGACGGTAGGCCCAATGCGACGACTGCCGACTGGAAAGTGGTGTCATCCATTCACATGCGCTCCATTACCATTCGTCTGCTTATTCACTAGTCACTCATAACCACTTAATAAAACTTTTTTTGAATTTTTTGTTAAAAAAAATAGATGAAATTGATAAAAGGATAATAAGCATTTTAAAGAAGACCTTAAATTAATGATGGTAGTACATTTTCTCTTTAACAAACCCACCCCCATTTTAACAACAATCTAAATAACAACAATCTAAAGCAAACTTTATTGACAAATGGGCAGCAATTTTTCCTAACCCCCAAAAGAAAAAGGTCGCTCCAAAAGAGAGAATGGAAAAGTAAATTGAAAAGAATATATTAACAAAGAAACAAGCACTTAAACAGAGGATTGACTGCAAAACTAAAAAACCCAATTTATGGAATGCTACTTACTACAAATTGATTACAAATACTATGAACTACTAGAATTGAAAGCAGACCAGCTCCTTGTGAGTTCAGTGAAAAGAAAGAAACGCTGCATCCTCCCCATTACACTTACATGGAGGAGAAGTTTCAAAACCAATACCAGTTGCAATGAAAAATAAATTACACAATCACGTCATATTCAATAACTACACCCAAAAACCAAATTCTACATGCACCACTGACCACCCTACATTCAAAATTCAAGGGAGGATAGGACATCCATAATGGAATGGACGGAAAAAAAAAAAAACGAGAGACAGAGAGAAAGAGAAGAGATTACGGTACAAACACCAAGATCGATCGAATATTACAGAATAACATATGATGAGAGAAGGGGGCCAATCCCTTTGGGGTGCCTTTGCCTCCGCAATGATTTTTTTTTCTTTTTTTTTTTCTTCGGGGGAGGGGGGGGGGGGATTAATTGATTTTAAGGTTAATAATATTGTACTCTACTCTGCAGTATTTTTGGTAATGTTCTATTAGACGCTAAGGGCATTTGGAATTTTTGCCAGGACCTCCATAATAAAAGTAATGACCCCAATCACCGTTATTGCCGGTTTGAACATCATAACAGTTGGACTGCTCAGTGAAGGTACCAATATCTTTGGGAGCCTTGAGGTTGTTAGATTCATCAACCACCTGTATGTTTCTAAAGTAACTTGCTTTGCCAAAGCCTTCCTCTGGGAAACGGCCGCTCCCCATTTGAGTGGACGTATGCTGCCCATCTGGTTCGGAGTTTACCACTTCCCCTCCCCATTCTATCATTGAAGCACTATCCGCCAAATACGAGAACAAGAATGATGGCCAGTACCCCAGTACGTAGTCGTTTCCAAACTGCATCCACCAGTTCCCTTCCTTTGGATCCTAGAACCAACACATATCCATTAAACCGAATTCCGTCATAAGTGATACACAATATAATATAATAATACAGCTAAAGCTACGAGTATTATGGTAATGGTAATTTCATACGCCTTCATGGTCAACATCAAATCAAATCAAGTAGAGAGCTAGTCCTCCTAATCAATAACACAAGGAAAGCAAAGACAATATATGGTGGTAGTTCCTCTTAGCATGGCCATCCCACTCCCACCCAACCACCCACCCATTAGTCCCACCATTTCCTTCAAAAATGAGAGGGCACCACAGGCAAAAATATAGTAAGTCAAAAGAGAACTTGTATTGTTTTACAACTCCCATTATTCACAGTTAACACTGCATGTGATCATCTTTTGTCCTCATTTTTGGCTCAAAACTCAAAAGGCTAATATGAATAGCTTTTCATTGTCCTCATTCTTGATTGACATGAGAGAGGACAATTAGGAGTGATGGCAGGGGTCCCGCACAGGGAAAAAAATTATATAAATGGCCCCAGTTGTATTTTAATACAGAAGGCCATTTTTAATAATTTTTACTCCATAAACATTTGGAAATCAATATGAAAGATTCTCACTACAACATTTCTTACTCCTTCGCATCTGATCCACAGACCACAGCCTTGTCCCTTTCTCCCTCTCCTTAATATCTTCATTATTTAATAGTAACACATACAAATGATTAATTATTCCATTAATCCTAAAATAATACTGAAGGATACGAACACCTTTTTTCCCTTCATTTATAATTCAAGAGGGAATAACTCTTTAATTGGAAAAATGGAAAGCCATTGGAAATGCCTCCTTTATGACATCAAAAGCCATTGATTTCTTAGAATTTTATAATAAAAAACTACTACTAAGACAGTAATGTGTCCATGCTAAATTATTGCTACCATGTAAAGGTATAAGTAAACAGTATGAGCATATCACAACTAATAAGAGATTGAGTGGAGATTTTGGAATTTACCTTCCAGACGAGGATACTGATGTCATATTGGGAACTACGGAACCCAGAGACAGGAGAGATGCTTGCGCCCATTGCTATCTCGCTGTTAATTTGTATGAATCCTGAGCATAGGAGGTTGTAGCAACCCGTGGCCTGATATGCGTCACTCTGAATAATTTTAATTTTTTAAGAATAGAAAAGTTAGTTTGTATGGAGCACTTAGTATGGATTATGGAAGTATACAATATGTAATACGATGCCCTTGCAAATCACAATTAGACAATAAAAAATTAGTACTGTTACAAGAATTGAAGGTGAAGGTGGACGTGTGCAACATGAAAACAAGGAGGGAGTGACTAGTGAGAAAAAGGTTTTACCGTCCAGTATGTGAAAAGCCTGGTGTTATTATCTCCGTAAAGATCAGGGCTCACCTATTTCCACATCCATTCACACAACAACATAAGAAAAAGTTGAAAGAAACAGTGTTGAGGATCGGTGATTCATATAATAGATACCTGCCAACCAGCTTCAATACTATTAAGATCTTCACCAAAGGAGCCTCCCAAAATCCAGATTTGAGACAAGCTAAACTCGTTGGGCTGCTGAATTTTAGGTTCCCAAACGTTTATGGTTGCCTTTGCTCCGTAATACTTGTCTCCTTCAACATATGCAATTGCATGCTGTTAACCAAGTCAAATAAAATTAAGAATTAAGAAATAAAAAAGAAGAGACAGAAATCAATATATTTATTTAAGAAAAAAGAGTGCAATGTAGACATGTAGTATAGCAGCAGTAATAGAATTAAAAAGATGGAAGGAAGAAGAGACCTGGTGGCCGCTTTCGTTGACAAGGTCGGGATCTGGAGACCTGGGCTTGGCAAAGCGGTGATACTTCTTCCTTCCATATCTCTTAGCAGAACTGGCCCTTAATACATCATCCTCCTTGGTTCTCCTAATGGGGATAGTACCCTCAGGACATTTACCACTGGCGTGCCACAGCTGAGTGATTGGATTGCTTCGCGGTTCAGTTCTAGAATTAATATTGACCTTGCTCTCACCAAAAAGCCCTTCAGGATGGTAATTAGGCCTCATCTGTAATAAAACCCAGCAACACCCGCAAAGTGAACAACACAAACCAAAAAATAAACCCAACAACACCCGCAAAGTGAACAACACAAACCAAAAAATAAACACACCAAAACCCGCACAGTGAACATCACGAACCCATATACAAAGGGGGAGAAATGTAAGTAACATACCTGAATGGTATGGTTCTTGAGGAAAGGATGATCAAAGGCTGGCTGATGATTCATGTGAACACAGTCAATGATATCACCATCTGGGCTCTGCAAATTGCAAGACATGCACCCTTGTTCAAATTTCACACATTATGCTCAACCATTTACTATACTAAATCACCAATGATTCCATATCAAAATGTAGGATTACAACTATGGCAGGGAAAATAGATGACAGCTTTACCAACAGTAACTCACTGTACTGAGGAAATATTTTTTTAGACCTGAAAACCTAACAATTCAACGAATATTATTTTCTTTGGGTGGAAAAGGGAAAGAAAGAAAGAAAAAAAAAAAAAAGGACCAAGCAAAAAAGGCGTTTCATTTTCGGCATTTCAAAATATTCCTCAAAAAACAAGACACCATAAACAAAATTTAAAATCCATAGCTATTTGCAGCAAACAGCTCCATCTACAAGTGTATTTTCCCAACATTAAAAAAAAGGAATGTTAACACATGAATTCACTTAAAAGAGTAGATTATCCCAACACAATTAAATAAATTAAATGGAAAGAAAAGGAGAGAGAAAAAACCTGAATGGTTTTGACAGGAGGTTTATTCAAACGGTTGAGATGCTTCTGGACCTGAAATTTCTGGCGAGAAGATGAATGCAATCTGGCTGCGGAAACTAGAGAAACGAAAAGGCACAACCACAAGAACGCAAGTCCGCCTAATTTAACACCCATTCTCATCACTGCTGAAATCAGTTTTGCTGAGGATTGAGGAGAGAGAGAGAGATCGATTCCCAGTTAATCAGTCACCCATTAAAAATAGGGAAATCTACAGTTAGATTTGAATTGAAAAAGAAACGGCTTAGCACATCCAAACCAAACCTCCCCCAATTCAACGCTGCTTCCCTGTCTCGAACCCCACCCGTCTTCTTTCTCTCTCCTCTCTTTTTTGAGTACTCACCTTTTTTGAGGGTAAGAGAGAGAGATTGAGCGAGTGTGTGTGTGTGTTTTTGAGTGTGTGTGTGTTTTTGAGTGTGTGCGTGAGATATAGAGAGAGACAGTGTGGAGGTGGGGGATTTTACACTTTTTTTTTTTTTCACAAAACTCCAATAAACGGATGTCCTTTTCTATTCCATCTATTTACTTCAATTTTATTGCCATATACTCTACGGATTTTTTTCGTACTCGTATCACTTTACTTAATTTTGAAATACGGAGTAACTTAACTTCGTAGCCTGCTTGGTGATTATTAGTTTATTACTCACTCCAACGACTTCTATTAACTATTTACTAAAATAACACGTGTCTGACGTCATCACTGTCCACATGTCATTCCCATAATAAAAAATTTCCCGCTTAAATGCAAGGATGATGTCATTTTTTTTTGTGGAGCTATCATATTTAATAATTTTGAAATTTAAATATTAGAAGCTTCCACATTTAAAAAATGAAATAATTTTAAGTAGCACACTAATAAATAGACTCCTACATTGAAATATGTATTAGGCGGCGTTGAACAGGAATTGTATCATAATTTTAATGAAAATCTAAAATTTTAAAAGTACAGATATTTTTGTACAAGGTGCATAATTCTTATTTATATTTATCTATTTTTAAAAAAATGTACGTACAAATTATAAAAATAGATTTGTATATAAATCGTGCATCGCACGGGTTCTAACCTAATTACAACTATTCCCCCTTTCTATTTTAACCCACCTGTTAGTTTTGGGAAATTTTCAATGATACTCATCAATTTTTTATTTTATTTTTTTCTCAGTGGTAAACACTAAAATATCAAATTGTCTTTTTTTTTAAACACCCACACAGAGCGGCTAACTTTCATCCATAGAGATATCATGATTCAATAGAGGTACAATGCATTTCGGGAAGTCTGAAACCCACACACGTCTACCTATAACCCATGGTTCACAATGAGCAAGCTCATGAGCGACCTTATTGCCCTCTCTACGAACAAAGCTCCAAGACACAAGATCTAACAAAAAGCAAACATGATAAATATCATCTACTATAAAGTGAAAGTGGCTATATCCCCTCTCTCAAAGGACTTAATTGCGTTAATAAAGCTTAGACAAGCGCTCTCCACCACAACCTTGCGAAACCCAAACTCGACAGCAATACGGAGGCCATGAAGCAAAGCCATATCCTCTATAACTTACGGCTGCCACTGTAACACCCTAGAAATTCATTTCCATTAAAATAAATATTTTTCCCTTTTTAAAATACGAAATAGGAAAATCTAAGATATTACTGCCACTATGAAAACGGCTAAGGCAAATATCAAAGACACACACAACGGAAGACTCTCTTTAAAACCATACAACACAAGTCAATTTAAAAAGTCAAACCAAACGAAAGTAAAGTCAAACAAAGTCAACCTACAACCTGGAACCATCGTAAGCCCTTAAAACCAAGCAATACTGAAAACCTTTACGTTAGTCTCATGAGCACAATAAAATAAATAATATTTAAAGCAAATAGAACACATCATATTCCTATGGAAATTAAGCATGATTCGCTCTTACTCATGCCCATCATGAAAATGCTTCATCACCTGAAAAACTTCTCTCTACTTGTCCCCACTACTCGCCATTAGAAATGGGTCGTCGTAGGGCCAAGGTAAAGACAAGGTCAAACAAACATACAAACACACAATCAGCAATGCTGAGTACATAAGCGTATTAAAACACACTAACATGCTTTCATCCTACCATCCCACAACTTACCTTGTTGCACCTGTAAACAAGTATACAAGACATTCAACACTTAACTAGACAAATACCAATGCCCATTTAATTTGATTACGCGTCGAACGAGTTTCCCCCTAACTTGCCCCAATAAAGGGGCACTAACACGGGAGCTAACCGTGCCAGTATAAAAGAATCACTCGTAAGTGGCAGAATTCCTACGCATAATAAAAAGGAATATACAGCGTCCTGTACTCCAAGTAGAAATTATGGCCAAATATAAAGTCGCATAACCCCCCCCATATGTTCATACTCAAGGTATATACGTTCCAAGAGTTTTGGTGCGTAATCTCTTTCACTTTACGTTGCTTTACATATTATTATACTTGGTGATGACACTCAAACCATAACACAATCAAACATACCAATTTTATTCTTGAATAATTAGTGACCACATAAATTTAGTGTTGAACCCTTTTTAACTACCTCGGTGTTAAATAACACCTTAAGCGCATAAATCACCTCAAATCCTATCCATCGGTGTTTAGAACACCTTAAGTGCACTTAGGCACCAAAATATAATTTAATCCTCGTGTACAATAGACACTTAATTAGCTCTTTCCTATGCTTATAGCATCAATAAAAATTATATGAACCATAATAAAATTTCCTTTTCATATTTTAAACCAAATTAAACATTTAGTTTAATTAAACATGCTCTCTATCATGCCAATAATAAAAGTGTGGTTCATAATCAACATGCCAACATAATTAATTCCAATCACCAATTCATCATAAATATTTCATCCATCACAAATCATTTACCAACATCAATTATACAACAAATTCCAACCAACACCTATCATGATACTACTTGGAATACATATTCAAGTAATTACCAAGTACGCGAACGTACCTTGAATATGATCTCAAAATCGCCACGACTAAATAAAATCACTCACTTGAAAACCTTCTACAAACCAAAATTACAAAGTGGCATTAATACCTATTCCACACAAATTTTCAGCAATATATACACTCTTTAAATCACTCATAAACCCTTTAAAACGAGCTAAAATTTAATTTAAAACCCCTTACTTTTATTCCTAATTTGTGGGTAATTAAAAATCCTTTCAAGAAACATAATTAGAACTTATATATAAAAAATCTAGCTTTATTAAATCATTCAAAATTGTTGTAATTGTGTTTTAAAACACTTATTTCAATAATTTAAATCACCCATAAGCAAATTCCATCAATATATATAAACTTAGAAACCTAGGGTTTATAATTTGGGGCTTTTTAATTCAAAACCAAATCTGAAATTTTATATACAAAATACTTATTATCAAACATCATAAAAATCATCACAAAACTCAAAATCAATAATTAAATCAAGGCTAGATTATGATTAAAACAAAAGAGATTTTTTTTTTAAGGTGTGCGCACAGCACCACTGCGACAAGGCTGCTGCCGCGCCTGTCGGTCGGTGTTGCTGCTATCGGCACTCGCTGGTGGTGGCAGCCGGCCGGTGGTGGCCGGCCGGGGGTGGTGTGTGTGGGTGGTGATGAAACAAACTAAAAATAAAGGGGAAGGGGAAAAATTAAGGGGAAAAGAAAATAAGAGGAGAGAGAGAGAGAGAGTTTACCTTTGGGTATTCTCCACCTTGGGCAAAGTTTGAGTTTGCTCATATGATAGGTATTTATACCCTCTCTCAATAACCCTCCTACTTAAAATTCCTTTACTACCCTTAATGATCTATTTCCTATTCAAACTAGTATTTTGACTTTCTTTAAAAACTCGTTGACTTTAAAAATTTCCTTTTATAAAATAATATGTCCCAAAGTTTCCAAATCATGAAATAAAATATATTCAAGATTGTTAAATAATTAAAAATAAAATTTTAATTAAAAAAATTCTTTTTAAATTAATGAAACACCATAAATAATTCATTTCGAATTATTTAAATACTTTAAGAAATACTTATTTAAGTTAAAATACATATAAAATAACGGGGTATTACAACCACTGATTCTCTGTCTTCCAGGCAGCAGCTAGCAGGGCAGTACCATTCGCCCTATGAATCACAGCACTTGTAGATGAACCCAACCCTGTAATACCCCGTATTTTTATACATATTTTAATTTAAATAATTATTTTATGAGGTATTTAAATAATTTGAAATGAATTATTTATGGTATTTTATTAATTTAAAAAGAATTATTTTAATTAAAGGTCCATTTTTTATTTAATTAATTGTTTTGAAAATATTTTATTTTATTATTTAGAAACTTTGGGGCATATTATTTTATACAAGGAAATTTAAAGTCAATGGTATTCAAAGAAAGTCAAAGGACTAGTTTGAACAAGAGAAGGGATCATTAAAGGTAGAAATAGAATTTAAGCTTAGGAGGGTTTTAGAGAGAGGGTACAAATACCCATCTTATGAGCAAGTTAGATCTTGCCCAAGGTGAAGAATACCCAAAGGTAAACTCTTTCTCTCTCCTTTAATTCCCCCCCCCTTTTAATTTTCACACACCACCACACATACACCACCATGGTGGCCGGCTGCCACCAGTAGCAGCAGCCGTGGGAGGTGGCGCCATCCATCCTCCCTTTTTTTCCCCCTTGTATGTGTGTGTTTTTAAAAAAAAAACTTTTCTTTTGTTTTTAAATTATTCTAGCTTTGATTCAATTATTATTTTTGGGTTGTGAGATGATTTTTTTTGATGTTTTGTTATAATTATTATGTATAAAATTTTCAGATTTGGTTTTTGAATTAAAAAGCCCCAAATTGAAAACCCTAGGTTTCTAAATTAATGTGTGTTGATGGAAATTGATTGTAGGCAATTGAAACTAATAAATTAGATGTTTTTAAACATAATTATAGCAATTTTACATGTTTTTATAAAGCTGGAAATTTTATATAAAGGTTATAATTATGTTTCTTGAAAGGATTTTTAATTACCCATTAATTGGGAATAAAAGTAAGGGTTTTAAATTAATTTTCATCTTGTTTTAGAGGGTTTATGAGTGGTTCAAAGAGTGTATATATTGCTGGAAATTTATATTGAATAGGTATTAATGTCTCTTTGTAATTTTGGGTTGTAGGAGATTTCCAAGTGAGTGATTTTGTATAGTCATGGCGATTTTGAGATCATATTCAAGGTACGTTCGCGTACTCGGTAATTATTTGAGTGTATAGAAGCATGCTAGACTTTGTTTAATTAATTCCAAGGCAGTATCATGATAGGTGTTGGTTGAAATTGTTGATTGGATTGATGTTGGTGAATTGTTTATGATGTATGAATTATTTATGATGGATTAATGAT